TTGAAAATCACATCTTCTCTGTGGCGCAAGAGTACTCGTCGCAATGCGTCGTTATGGTTAGCCTGTCGAGATTATACGCTGCACTGGCATGGTTCAGGTTCCGCGGGGATGTTAATGAGATCGGTTCAGGCGAGGTCGAAACTGGCGTCCACTCCAGCCAGGATGAGAATACGTTTTGGAGAGCTAGGCTGTGAGAAATGCGATGGAAACGAAATGTCTATTCATATGGATGTGGAAAAATTGAATGACAAGTGCCCTCATCATCTTAAACGAGATAGAATGAACATATCTTACAAATCGTCTAAAACCATCGCAGTTGACTCGCGTATTTGTTGAAGGTATATTAATTTAATTTAGAAGCCTACTCACTCCAATTCAAGTAGTCTAGTTGAGGGTAATGTAAAATGCAGGTTTGCCTGGCCTATTCTAGAGCTAGGATTAATATGGGAGATTTGCTGACAGTTTCGAGTTGCTGTTTTTTTAATATTGCAAAGTCACTTTTCTGGAATTTATTGTTACTTGCAATCCTCAACTTGAACGAACTACTTCTTTTCGATTAAAGTAGGCTTCAAAATTATCAGCAAATCTTGCTTTTCTGCCTACACAACTATCTGACCTTTGTCCACACCTCGGCCCAGCCGCCAAGCAACCTGATAGACCTTCTATTCACGTGGGTTTCTGTTCACCTTTGTGCTGCCTGTTGGCCTGAGGCAGATCTGGAGCGGCATGACCACCCCGAATGGGTGGTTGAGGCGTCGCAATCGCTCGCCTCCACAAGCCTAAGCTGGTGCCAAAGGGTCAGCTGGAGAGGAGGAAAGGGATATATATATAAATATAAATATATAAATATATAAATAAGTATATAGAGAGAGACAAGTGCCAGCGAGGTCAGAGTTCTGCGAAGCATGCAACGTGGATGGAACGTGATTGTTTGCTCGTGTTGCTGGCCTCGACTTGACAAGAGTCGAATTGTGTGTCCAAATCGATGGCAAATTATGTCGACCCAAAATCGATCTTTCTTGAGGAGGTCTTGACGACTTGGACAGCCTCTGTATGTCCTGATACACATGCACACTATAGCTTTGGCCACAAACGTGGAGAAGGGAGGGACAGTGAACGACGCTGTTGCGTCGTTCACTCGGCCTCGTCTCTCAACAACTCCATACAGGACTGTGGTTCCGACATGTCAGCGGCTCCGGTGGAAATCGAACTCGCGCCGTGGCTACGCCACACATGGACACGATTGGCTCCACAAAAGGGTCCCGAGGCGGGAGTGACTTCTAAGGCATGGCATGCTGATGAATGGTTAAATGATGTTGGCCATTACAGTCGACGCCACTACTATTTATGAAGTGAGTAGTAATCGAGGATATCCGCAGCGCTGAAATAAATATAAAAACACTTTGGCAGCATTCATAGTGAGCACTTCACTTGCCGTGCAGCATACAAGATTTCCCCATCAGCGAAAATCCCACTGAAAACAGAAAAAAATGACGTTTATAAATAGATTTTCGGGACTACAAGTAGATCAGATATAGAAGATGAATTCCCCCAATTTTGTATATGATTTCTACCACAATCAAATGAGTAGACCATTGGATTCCGCATAGACTTGCTTCCCCAAAAGTTCTTATCCGGGCTGAAATG